TCTCTGATGCAACTTTGGAAGCCTTCGGAACGAGTGTTTACCTTCAAAGCATTCATGAAGACAATACGGTGGAAGTTCACTTACTGGTCAGCAAATCTCGGGTAGCATCCAAGGGTACTATTCCTAGACTTGAGCTGTGTGGCTTTCAGCTCATGGCAAGGTTGGTTACGCAAGTGGCAACGGCACTCAAGATGGATTTTTGACGACGAAAGGTTCCACACCTGCTGAGTACCTACGCTGGCAACAGAGTGGCTGAAGTACAAGAACTTATGTCTTCTTACGAATACGGTTATGTTAGGTCGAACGATAACCCAGCAAACCTAGTGTCACGAGGTCTCGATGCGAAGGCACTAGTTCAGAGTCAAGTTTGGTGGCACGGGCCAGAGTACCTACGACAAAACCAGTACGGAGAAGAGGTTCCGGAAGAAGTGAAGGATCTACCAGAAATACGAGTTGCAATGTGGGCAAGTTTGTCCATGACCGACATGCCTGTACTTACGAAGTTCAGTTCCTTCAGACAGCTGCAGCGTGTGATGTCTTACGTTATCCGTTTCTACAATAAGACGATGAAACTCAGGATGGGTAGGTGATGATTCGAAATACGTTATAGTCAAGGAGATGAGATTGGCCCTTCGCGCAATCGTCAGAATGGTTCAACAGCAGCAGTTAAGCCTGAATCCGTGGATCGATGAAAATTGAATCTTGCGGGTTAACGGAAGAATCAAGTATGCCAACGTGTGCTACCATCAGAAGCATCCTTCTATCCTTCCTGCTGGGCATCCAGTGACAAAGTTATTGATACAAGCTATTCACAACGAGAACCTTCACGTTGGTCCAAGTGGTACCCTCTCGATTATCAGGCAGTGTTTCTGGATTGTCAACGGTCGGAACGCTATCCGACAACAACTCCGAAAGTGTATAGTGTGTGTTCAACGTCAATCCAGTGGATAGCAAGATCTACATGGGAAACTTACCAAGCTACAGGGTGACCCAGGCACACCTTTTTCAGCGTACGGGTATAGATTTTGCGGGACCTATTTCCGTTCGGAAGGGACACCCAAGGAAGCCAGTCTACGAAAAAGGATACGTGGCATTGTTTATATGCATGGCGACAAAGTGCATCCATATCGAACTTGTGTCAAACCTTACGACAAGTGCCTTCGTAGCAGCCCTGCATAGGTTCGTGGTCGTCGCGGGCTTCCATCCGACATCTTTAGCGACAACGCCGGCGCAAGCTCGGAACTGCATGAACTTTACGTACTTCTGCGTCAACAACAGACAATCCAAGCCATCAAGGAATTCAGAATGCCACGAGAGATTACTGGGCATTTATACCTCCACGATCACCACACGGAGGAGGTTTATTGGAGGTTGGTATTAAATCAGCAAAATACTTCCTGAAGCGCACAGCAGGAGAAGCTAAACCAGGGTAATTGCATCGGTCTTGGACTGTGCTGCCATACAAAACGACATTGACGAATTGTTGAAATGGTGCGAAGAGAACGGGATGAACGTTAACATAAAAAAATGTAAAGCGATTTCATTCACACGTTGCCGCACTGTGTTGAAATACAGCTATAAGATCGGGCCCTCTACCCTGGAACGTGTAGATTCTATTCGTGACTTAGGTGTTATATTGGACAGCAAACTGAGATTCAACGAACAAATCTCTACAACAGCTGCAAAGGCCTTTGCTATCCTAGGATACATTCGACGCCATGCAGCCTTCATCACCGACGCTTATGCTTTGAAGGCGTTATTTTGCTCATTGGTACGAAGCATACTTGAATACGCCGCACCTGTTTGGACACCGTATCAATCTACACTAGCCAGCAAATTAGAACGAGTTCAGAAATACTTCATGGAACAATGAAACACACCTGCCTCCATATACCTCACGCTGCTTATTACTTGACTTGGAAACGCTGTCTGCCAGACGCCTGAAATTGCAGCGCATCTTCATCTTCGACATTCTTACGGATCGCATCGACTGCCCTGCGCTGCGTCAGCTTGTCAACTTCAACGCTCCATCTCGTTCACTTCGAACTCACGCTGCGCTTTACGTACCTCATCACAGAACAAGCTATGGACATAACAACCCTCTGAGTACCTGTATACGTGCTTTCAACACTGTTTATGATCAGTTTGACTTTAACATTAGCAAAAATGTGTTTAGTACTAGAATTAGAAATTTAGATTAAGTTGCAGTCTGAACGAGTATATCGAAGACGAAGGAATAAATAAATAAACTAACCGAAGAAGAGTGGCATAAGTTGCTGGTTCAGCTTGAAGACTTGCTAAACTCACGCCCTCTGATAGCACAGTCTTCCGAACCAAGCGACTACAACGTGATTACAGCGGGCCATCTACTGATGGTCGTGCTATCAACGCAAATCCTGAACCAAGCTACGATCACCTCAAACCGGGAACACTCTCTAGATGGCAGCACATTCAGAAAATGCGAACAGATTTTTGGAAGCGTTGGTCAGTTGACTATTTGGCAGAGTTGCAGCAGAGACAGAAGTGGAACAGACATCATACCGAGGTCAAAGTTGGTGATCTTGTACTGATGAAGGAGGATAATGTCCCACCAGCTCAATGGAAACTTGGAAGGGTGGTCGATACCCATCCAGGTAAGGACAAGGTAACACGAGTGGTTTCGGTGCGAACCACGACAGGAGTGTTCAAGCGTTCGACGGCGAAAGTAGCGAAGCTTCCGTTGAATGATGAAGAGAAGCAGCTGATTGAATTTCCAAGAAATCCAATGGCGGGGGAGAATGTTTGGATGGATTTGTGCGTTTTATAAAAAAAAAACAGAAGTAATTTGTTGGCCCAGTTTTGTGAAATTGCTGGTATAAAGTCACGCCAAAACTGCTTGAAAATATGCTCCATTTATCTTAAAGTTGTATAATTTTCGAAATTGCTTTTAGATCTCAGATTTGAAAAAAAAAACAGTGCTCTGGAATGTCGAAGATTTGTTCAAGAATCCTAAAAATGGTACGAAGTCTTAGACGTTTGATTGATTTTAAATCAGCAATGTTCAGCATTTTAAATATTTCTGTTAATCACCCATCATCGGAATACAGTAATGTTATTTTTTTGTAGTTGTGAATTGAAGCTTCTAATAGCCTTTTTGTATATTTTGCTTAGTAAGAAATTCTTTTTCTATTGATAGAAAATGCCGTTTCAGTGCTACAATGTTTTGAAAAATTTCATAGGCGCAATTTTCAAAATTTTACAAGATCCTTAATGGCTGAATTATAGCAAAAATTTGAATCATTGCCCATAGCAAAACAATTATGCAAAAAATCACGAAAATCGGAGAAGGTCGAGTTTTTCCGATTCGTCATTTGGCGTAAAACTGCTCCAAATGAGAATGATTGTCCATAATAAACAATTACTCGAAGTGTCATTCAAATCGGAGATTGTCGAGCCTGAACCGCTCTTATTTAGCTTTTTCTTTTAGTAAGTAGATCGTGTTGAGAATATCCTAAAATTTCCTGACTACAAAGAGAAAAATTCAGTGCACTGACTGCAAATCACTTCTGATGACAGATTTGTCTAAAAATCACCTTCCCACTCCCGCTGAGACATGGTTAGATCCTTCCAAGAATCGTTTTCTATTTTCATACCCGACATTGCCATATTCGTCCTACAGTGATCGATCAATTCGTCTAAAGTTTTCCATCCGGCTCATCCTGTAGACAAGGGCCGGTTTTTTTTCCCAGTCCTACTCCATCAGAATGCTTTTAGGAATCATCAATCGACATATTTTCATCATAGCTGTCATAAATTAATCACGAGATTCATGGAAGGTTTCACTGCACAGTGTTCACAGCTAGAGAGTTCAGAGATGCAAAAAAAAACTATTCTCCGCACGACCGATTTCCATGTCATCTCCGTGCTGTGAAAGGCTACTTTTTCTCCAACCTTCTGGAAACTCTTTCCATTCATTGGCAATTTTCCGCCAAATTATTCCACTTATTTTTGCTCCACCGAGAAGAACACCTGCCAAACGTTCCGTGCGCTTACTTCGTTCAAATTCCATTCGTTCTTCTACAATTACTCAATTTTTATTGAAATTGTTCAAATTCCAACTATCCGATTGGGTCCGTAGCAATCAATTTCCCCCCAAACCCCCAGCCGGTGCAGACCCCCGCCCTAACGAAGACGAAGATTCTATTAAATTCAATGGAAATGGAATTAAAATCCCTTTTCCCATCGTTCCAATTATAAGAATCTCCGAAGACGACGACACGGAGTGCGGTCCATTCATTTTGTATCGGAGTCCTTCATTTGTTTCATTTTCAATCAAGTGTACCCGACACCCACACACACACCCCCGCTTCACGTTCATCTGCATTCTTGTTAGCAGAGCAATATTCCGAGAAAATTCGAATTCCTTTCACTCCTCTAAGATACGTTTTCTATTCATTTACATTCTTCTGTATTTCGATATGCAGGGGAAAAAAAATCCTAGCTGGAAATTGTTTTAGTCGATCCTGGGCGAGCGACAAGTACCTACTCATGTAACAGAATCACGCCCTCGCCTCGCTTTGGCACGCTCCCATGACGTCGTCCTATATAATGAATGCAAAGCCCCTGGCGAAAAAAAAATGGAAGAGATCCCGAAGTGCCATCTTTAAACGCCCTCTTGAAAACGAAATTGGTCAAAGCCTGGAGGAGCATCCTCGTCGTCCTCGCCAAGTTGCTGGGTTCAAAGCGAGCAGAGTGGAATGAATATTTTCATAATTGATTCGCCATAAGAGGTCGTGAGTGTGGGGCGGGACGTAATAAGGGTCTTCCAGAATTTAATATCGTCGGGAAATAACACCTGATGGCTTGCAGAGCGAGGACTAATTGTCATTTTGGAGATACTTCCATTCTTCAATTACGAACTTTCCGTTCTTGAGTGTGTTGACTTTTCTCTCCAATTTCTTTCGAACATCCAGATTAATTTCACCAACGCTAATCCATTTGTTCTTCTCCTTTCTCTCCAGTTGCACCCCGCTGCAAGCCGGGCACCGAACAGCAGACCATTGGCTCCCTCAACATGCACTCGATGAACGTCAAGTGCGAGGTGGACGCCGACCCACCGGATGGGGTCCGTTTCAGCTGGACCTACAACAACACCCGAAACGTGTCGCCGGTGCTGAACTCACGCGTCAGCTCCCAAGGACTGGTCAGCTCCATGACCTACCTGCCGCAGTCGGACGCGGAACTGGTGACGCTCGCCTGCTGGGCCATGAACAGCGTCGGGCGGCAGACGGTGCCCTGCCTGGTGCATATTCTACCGGCAAGTAAGTATGAGGGAATGAATCGAGTTTTGCACTTTACGGAAATGTGAAGGGGAACTCGGAAGGATGCTCGTTAGGGCTGAAAAGGGTTTGATTTGTCGCTGGCGGTGTTCAAAGAAGATGGTTTTTTGAAAGGGTATATTTAAAGCTCAATTGTTGTGAAGCCAGTAAAGGTCCCGTTTATGACTTAACCAATGAAATGTTTGTTGTGCTTAGAACTAACTCTTTCGGTAAATAGATGTAAACAGACGTATCTAGAAAGAGCCGGAATTTGGGCGTAACAGCTTTTGTAAACAATGACTTCTCTCGATGGTTTCTAGAAAGTCAAGGCTCGCGTTCAAAAATCAACATTACCATCAGGTAGGGGAAGACTTTGCGTTGGCGTGCCTTACATTTTTTAAAATCATCGAGAGAAGACATTGCTTACTAAAGCTGTTACGGCCTAATTCTAGCTTTTTATACAGTGTATCTCAAAATTGAGCGTACAGCTGTCCTTTAGTTGTAGAAAAACGGCTCTAAAAGCACAAGGTACTTCTCTAAATTTTTGGTTGCTAAGTCATCATATATTGTTCAATAATTGGTAAAATATTGGTCAGTTTAGGTTGAGTTTATAAATAGTTTATAAACTTATATTTTATAAGCTATATAAAAAAGAACGCTTCTTTCTTGAAAATCATTATTTTTTTAATGAAATGAACCTAACTTTTCGAAATTTTGTTTATTAAAATAAATCTAACTTCATACCGGCTTTTCCATTAAAGTCCAAAGCTATAGCGATTAAACAATAAACATCTGTTCAACCACCAGCTGAATTTAAAATATAAATATATAAATCTATTCACCATGTTTCAAAAAGTTGTCCACTCAATTTTGCGATACACTGTAGATATGCACTTTGATGTGACAATAAGACGGAACCGGGCGACGATGACAAAGTGTAGAGGTTTGAAACCAATGAATTCGTGCATTGATATCCGATTTCTGCACGTCGTCTCCGTTCCGAAAATACACTAATTGAATTTCAAAATGCCGTCCGGCATCGATTTCTGGCCTTTTCTCTTCTAATACTTATAAATAATAAATGTTTGACGATGTTCCGTAGACCGGAATCAGCCACCTTGGGCATTATCCTAATGGTCTGGTTCATCTGAACTATGTTGCCGAAGACAGCAAATTGTTAGATGGTCAGGATCTTGAAAAATAACCTGTGCTAGAAGATCACATGTAGAGCTTCCATCCCGGGATGAAAATCCCGGAATTGTTCCATTTCCCGGGATTTACGAATCCCGCGAAATAAATTTAGAAATCCCGGGATCGCGTGAATCCCGGATGTTTTTATTTTATTTTGAGACTATTTTACCCCTTCAAATCTTTCTTGGAATATCTGTAGCAGAATCCAGAACTTTCACATCTTATGAAATATATCTCTTCCCTTCGTTTGTCATTCACACAGACATCACTTTTTGTATATGATCATTGTACAAGAAGGACTCGTGAAAAATAAGATCTAACAGTGAAACAAACCGTGAACATTTCGATTAAATTTTATAATCGCGTATCTATATGGTACATAGACGAAAATCAGGTTGAGCGTTGTGAGATGTCCATCATTCATAGTTGATCGAAAAACCATTGAAATGCATTGTTAAGATGGTTGGCAGTACGTAATGATGCTAGTGTCAACTGATGAAAAGACTAAGTATTTGCAGTTTTTAGAGTCCTTCCTTAGATTAGCGAGCGGAATCTTGTAAAATGATTACTCCTTCTGGAGGAGCTCCTATATGTCACCGACTTCTATCTTGGCTTGCATAGCTCTCCCTCGATGTCATTTGTTACGTTCAAAGCTATGCATTACCTTCACCCGTTAGTATGTAATCAATGTAATCCTAAAGCACGGCAAAATAGTTTTTGCAAATACATTCATAAGAGAAATCATCCACCATAATCATCTTGATCTGTACGGACTATTGTGAAATTTGACTGACTCGAAGAAGTTGACGAAAAATCCCAGGATTTCTTAGAATATTCAACATATTCAGGGAACTTTATATAGGCTTTCAGTTCATGGAACTGAGTTTAAGTTCCAGAAACTTCTTGAAAGTACACGAATCTTCGTATAACTGATGTTCACGGATTTGTGATGATATCTCTAGATATTATTCAAGATTTTCCAACTTAATCAAGTGTAACTGTTCGTTTTTCCTGGCAAGTTCAGTAGCAAGAGACCCCTCGAGCTGGGTCTCAGGATCGGCTTACTACTTGGTTATCACGAGGAACTTCGCGGACAAAATGTGCAGCGTACGGTCACCTGACTAGAAATACTGTGTAGTGTGAATTTAATGATTTAAAGATTTGCTTTGATTTTGAGGGTTTTTATTTAACAAATTGGTGTGTTAGTGGAATTGGGTTAGATTTCTGTAGTCTATTTTTCTGTTTGTGGGTGTGGATAAAATTAACTGTGTTCTTCGGTACGTACCACTGCTTATTCTGGCGTCCTGCGAGCGCTCGCTGCTGCTGCTGCTGCTGCTACTGCTGCTGCTGACGACGAGCTGGCAAGCTGATTCCCAAAACAGTGGGTAATTACTGTTTAACCGCACGATGGTTTGGCGGGGTTTGTCGATGGTATGTGGCTGTGTAAGCCTTTCAGGCGTCCCCCCTCGTTGACGGAGATTGACACGGCCCAGGACGATACCAGAGTGACCGTGTCAAGAGGGGGAAGGCTCCTTTACGTTTAGGGGTTTCGCCCCCGAGCTTGAAAATCCTCCTTACGGGCGGCTGACCCAGAGGTTGGATTGGTCCTTTGCGGTTAGACGTAGCAAACCGAGGTCTACTACGCCGAATCGTGTGCACCTGGTCGAGCTTCTCACCAGACAAAATGGCGACTTTCAGTCGAATTAACACAATACAAAAAGGTCCTGACGAATCCGCCATCTTCTCCCTTTTTCGCTGGATACCACTCACTTAGCAATGTGAAGGACACTTTAAAATATGGCTCTTGTGCACACGAACGCCTGTAACTTTATGAGCAATGGCGCTCCTCCTTATTCTCATCAACCCCGTTGTAGCTTCTTTGTTGCTGTCCGTGAGCTTGGGGGGGGGGGGTTTGTTATCACCACCTTTGTAAATTTTGACCCACTTCGCCTGCTGGTCTACTCTTCTATCATTTAGTTGTTGTACCCACTGGCTTGCATGCGATTCACCCCACTTATTTTGTACAAAATTCAAATTCTACTAACATATAACATTTTTAATAGACACTAGATACATTTTTACTAACATACTAGCCCTACTACTTACCCTAAATTTAACCCAACACCACTTAACTCTAGAGACGTGACTGTACACAAAATAAAAGCAAAAATAAAAAAATACTAACAATTTGTAACAGTTGGATACACAAGTAATGTTCTGAAGATCTGCAAGTGTTCAAAAATTCAACAGACGTCTCTTAGATATCCTTCCAAGATGGAAGTTTGATTAGAGAGTATTTAAGGGATATACAGCTGGTCGGAGATTTAAAGACCTCGGGATGTTTTTCAAGACTTCAGGCTGATCAATTATTATTCTTAAGATATTTAACTGTTCATAAAATTCAAATAACGTCTCTAGAAAGTCTCTCAATATATCTGGTTGATCAGATATTAGATATTGGCTCTCTCAAGATGGCAGATCGGTAAGGAAGTACTTAAAAGATCTCCAGCTGATCGAAGATTTCAATTAAGTCTTTTGAATATTTTTCAAGGCTTCAGGTTGAACAAATATTATTGTGAATATATTTTCCCAAAACTGAACGTCCCTCCCCTTGGCTAGTTTTTGCACCTTGCTGTTGGTGGGCGGGCTTAATTTCATGCTTTATAGTGGAGTATTGGAGACGGTAGGTTTATGGTCGGTGTTGCTGGCTCATGCCGCGATAGAATGGCGACATGGGCAGGCGATGGGGATTACTAAGCTTCCCCTCTCTGATAAACCACTGCATGAGAGAACCAAAGATCTAGTCTAGCAGTGATAGTATCACACTTGTTACTCCTTTTATTGAGAGCCGCGTCGTAGTACGCTTACGTATAGGCACTGATGTTGGGTGTGATGCTGGCGGGTTTTGCCGCAAATCACTCTTATTTTATTTATTTTTTACGCAGATAGATTTATTTGGGTTTGCAGAAAGTGCCCAACAGTGCTCCTTCTATTTGCGTGACAAGCTTTCATTGTTGTTTTCATTGAGGTATTACTCAGAAAACAATGTTAAACATCATTTTTGTACATGGTATTGTAACTAATCTTATATGTGCTTCATTTTGATTTGGGATAAGTGTTTGAACTATGGCTCGGGATTTCCACTGTGGTGTGCTTCTATTGTGACATGCCCATATGTATTTTTGTGGTGCCACATAGTGGAAATGTGAGAGCGTAGTTGGAACATTTACCCTATACAATATACAATTTAAAATTAGCTTGGAAACTAACTTCAAAGTGAAGCATTTTAGTCACTTGAAGGTGTCATCTGGGACGAACAAAGATATAAGATAAGATATGTAAAAGCCAGAAGTACTTGAAACACGTTAAATTGTAGTTTAAAAGCATGGATTATGTACGTAGATTAGAGATTTCAGTTATTTATTAAATAAACTTCAATTATAGAATTCAGAAAGCTAATTAACATAAGAGATAGGACGCGGGGGGTCCGCTTAGGGAGGCGACTAGCCTATGAAGTTGTATAATAAATCTTCCTATTTAGTGTATTTGTTAATTACAGACAATGTCAATAGCGAAAGTCATATCTTCAACCAGGCGCTTACGAACAAGTGAAATTTTAGGAAAGATGTGTTAAATATGTTGATAGGTTTGAAATAAGAATTAGGATTATTGTGCTTTAGTTTTCGGTAAGGTATGATGTGTCAACAAAGCCCTTTTGAGCAAATTTTCAAACATCAAATTGATTGAGTGATTTATTGAAAGACATTGCGTTGCGAAAATTGACAAGTCATACATCTAACATAGTAGGAGTA